TGGGGGGGGGGGGGTGATTAAGAGTAAGTTTTTAAATGTTCTTAGTATATCATAAAACGAGGTCATATGTAATAATATTACATTTAAAATGGTATTATATATATATATTGTTCCGTATTTAATGAAAATTATTTTGTTACTCATTTTTTAATATGTACCTAATCATAGTAAAATCAAAATATTTTACTATAATATGTAAATATTAATAAATAATAATCAAATATCATTAAAAAAAGATCTGTGGGGGGGGGGGGGGGGTGGAAACCCCATACACCCTCCCCGTAACTACGCAACTGAGTATGGTTATAACTAATATTTGAAAAATAACAAAGAGAGAAAATAAATAATATGGACAAATAGAAAATAAAATGGACAAATAGTATATATTACTAAAAACGTTGAATAAAAACTGAATAATCATAAAATACATTATAAAATATAATAACAAATATATAATAACTAAGAATAATCTGATATCTGAGTTTCATTCTTATAAATAAGGGGTTATTTAATAATTTAAAATTAATAATTTTCAAACATTAACAATATTATTTTGTTTTATATCACAATTTGAAACAACATAATATTATTCATGACAAATCAAATTTAATTTGTTATAATATTATGTTAATGGTTCTTTTAAAAGAATGTTTGTATATGGATATAATGTATATTTATGTTTTATTTGTATTGTGTTCTGTAAACATTTGTGAGTTGTGACTTTGAATTTTATATTGGGAATACTATTTTAACCATTGACGATTGATTATTGACTTATATATAATAATTTCAGATATTATTTGCATCGGGACATATATTAATATTATATATTTATTTATTATAAATATTATTATTATATTATATATTTATTATATTATTATTTTTATTATAGTACCTAACACATTTTGCACCTATGTACCTTTCTAATAAACGATTTGCTTATCACTCGTATTAATAATTGATAAGATATGTTGGTAGTATTAATGTACGCTCCTGCGCGTAGAATTAGCTGCAGTGATCCGCTCGTGTAGTAACTGTTATATACATAGATAATATAAGATTCTTATATTATTATAAATCACTATTACTGTTATTTTCTCCCATCACTAGTAATAAACATGAATTCTAATAGTTCAACCTGCAACAATGTTCAAGATAAAAAAGCTGATCGCTTGAAGAAACTCAGAGATCTTCACATAAAAAGAGTAATTATTAAAAATAAATAACATTGAAATAAATACACTTCAGAACAAGTTAATTCTGAAATTTTATCTTTTCCAATTTTTTCACACTAGTTGGCCCAGCAATATTTTTCTATTGCTCAAATGTTATTTATTACTGTCCTGCCTGTATTTATTGACTTATATCAGGCTCGTATTAAGGGGAGCACTGTTAGACACATGCCCTAGGACGTCAAAATATTTTAGCAAAATTAATTTTAAAAATTATGTACCAAATGAAAAATAAAAAAAATAAAATAGTATGTTCTATTATGTTATAATCTGTAAATTAATAAAAATTGTATTTTTATTATATTATAATTTGTTAACTAAAAAAATTATTAAACAATTTTCATTTATAAGTTATATTTTAATATTAAAGAATCTCGATTATGGACGTAATAATAAGTGTTATAATATTACTATTTATTTGGGGGGGGGGGGGCATAAATTATAAGCCCAGAGGCGCCAAATTTTTAAATACGGGCCTGCCTATATAAATATATAAATGGACGATATCCATGTAATCTAGGATATATTTATATATTATAATACAGTGGCAGAACTAGATTCTTGGAGGCCTGTGTAAAAAATTTTCGTGGTGAATTTCTAAGACAGAATTAAAAAAAAAAACTAAGAATTTTGTTTTTCTCATGTAACATCTTTATTATTTAATATATATATATATATTATTATTATTAATAGGTTAGATTAGGTTAATAATATATTTATAAGTAGGTAAATATTAAAATTAAGTTGTGAATATTTATTTTCGGCTTTGGTTTTATGCAAAAGTATTGATCAATGCCAACATATTTGATTTTTTTGCACGTTCGTTTTCAATATAAATCATGGCCAAACCACTTAGACGTGTTTGAGACATAATGTTTCTGAGGTAGCTTTTTATTGAATTTAGCTTTGAAAACGATCTCTTAGCATTGACTACAGTTACTGGTAAAGTGAAAAATTAATAAAAAAAAATGCCTTTAGTAATTTTTTGGAAGCTTTTCATAAGATTATTGTTTTCAACAACTAACAATTTAGTTATATCAAAAACATTGGATAATGTTTCAAGATCAAAAGCAAATAATGTTCTAGAAGATTCTATTTGATTGGTTAATTCTGCTAAATTAAATATTAGCAGGATACAAGTTACAAAAGATAATTTATTTGTGTGATAAAATTATTATTCTGCATTAGGATAATTATAACTCCTTTTTTTCTAGAATATTTTATTTAAAACGAATAAATGCATAAATACCTACCTATCTTCATATTTTACTATAATCTAATAACTAATTGATCGTGATAGATTACTATTATTCTGAAACTCCATAATTAATTATGTAATGGTTTACTTACAAAAATAAATGAAAAGCTAAAAACTAAAAATAAACTTTTATGAGGTTTTTAGTTAATTTTTTTTTGTATTTTAATGTTCATAATTTTCTAAGTTAAATTGTTTAAAGCTTAGTATTTTTTATATTAAAAAAATATATATATTTGATGTAGTATTTACATTTAAGGGGTGGCAAGACTTGAGTTTACCCAGGTGATGGTAAATATTTGTGCCAAGTCTGAGTAGATTTATCGATAGACTACATTAGCTTAAAAAACATACTTCAGACAATGTGAACCATTTTACAAATAAAACTATGTAAAAATCAGTCCAGTTATTTTTGAATTTATTAATCTTAATTCTACCAATATCTATTTTCATACATCTAAACAATATACCTATTGTGTATATATTTATTACCGATGAACATTTTAGTCATTTTAGCTATACAGATTGATAATTAGTTAATATTTTACATTGATTCTTATAGAACATTCAAGACATAAAATTAATTTTGATACAGTGACATTTCCAAAGTTTTTTTTAGTAAGGCACATACTATTTAAAATGATGCTAATGGCACTAATGAAAAAAAAACCAATCAACGTTTTAATGTTTTTAATGCAAATTATTTATATTTTCAGTCGGTCATTAAATTATTAAATATTTACACATTAAAAAATTGTAATTTAATAATAAAAACATATTTTAGAGCAAAAATATTATAAGTGTATAAATTAGTAATAATTTTATACAATTATTATGGCCAATTTGCAAATTGAAATCCTCAATAATTTCACTCGCAGAAATTACCTTTTCTTTATTTATGATTATTAAAGCTAATCCATTTAATCTATTTTCAGTCATTGTTGACCTTAAGTATATTTTCAGTTGTTTTGAGGTAGTAAATGTACGTTCTTGTGTAGCTGCTGTAACAGAAAGAGTTGTAAATATTTGTAATAGTAATTTTATATTAGGCACAATATTTGTACAGTAAGGTAAACCAGTTTGAGGTTTATTCACTGTGATATTTTGTCCATTGTTTTTCCATTAATTTTGCCATATAAATTTTAACAAAAATAATTCAGCCTTAATCTAACAATTGAATTTAATAAAAGATAATTTTCGTATATTTTTGCAGCCTCTAAAATAGTTCCATTATCATAATAATTGAAATGTGATGAAATTAATACATCTAGGGGAATAATTTATTTTAACCTTTGATCAAATTGTGTTGTTAATTCACTTATATTTAGTCAAAAAATTGAATAAATATGGATGTTTGCTAATAATCATCTAGATTGTTAATATTCATATTAACTTTTTTATTTGATATTTTAGAAGCAATTTTAATTACTTCAATAAATATATTTTTGAAATAACTATCAGCATCTCTACCAATAGATGCCAAAGATTTGTGTACAGTTACAACATCATTTTATAAATTTGATAAATCTTATTTACTTTGAAGATTTTGACTTAAGTTAATTATATTTGAAAAAATTAAAACAGCTACTTTTATTAATACAAGAATTTGATAACATTGTAAAGTTGAAAATGTTTCTGATTCATAATACACATCATATTAAATACTAAATATATGTCAATACTTTATAAAGAATATAAATCTTAAAAGAAATTTGTAAATACAGTCAATGGTAAAGAGAGTATGGCCACTGTTTTATTGTATATTGTATATTAAATTAAATTATATGAATTATAGAATGAAGCCAGAGTGAACAACCATCAAGAAGTTATCGAAGAAGATAAATTAATGAAGTTACCATCAAACTGGGAAGCAAGACAAAGGAAAGCTGACTGGCTATTGAATGATGATAAACTCAAAGAAGAAGCTAAAGAAAAGGTATGCCACTATTAATGAACTGTTTACTGTGAATTTTTAAGGCACTCAAGAGTATTTGCAATAATTTTAGGGACAAGACTATGAACGTTTAAAATTATTAAACATGACTGCAATGGAAGCAGATGCTATTGATCGGAAAAAAAAACGCAAAAATCCCGATCCTGGATTCTCAGACTATGAACAAGCCACTGCTCGTCAATACAATAGAATGATATCTAATATGAAAGTTGACATGAACTCTTATAATAGACAGAGAGACAAATTAGGAAAAGCATTCTATGCTGAAGCCAACACTTATTTGCATGATAAAGTCAAAGATTCAAAAGAAGGAATTGATAGGATGGTTGACGACTTAGAAAAACAGTAAAAACATTTAAACATTAAAATTTTAGGTTTGAAACACAATTTTATTTATTTTTTTTTTCAGAATTGCAAAGCGTAATAAATTTAGTAGGAGAAGAACACATAATGATGAAGCAGACATTGATTACATCAATGAGAGAAACATGAAATTCAATGCAAAATTGGAAAGGTACTATGGAGAGCATACTACTCAGATTAAGCAAAATTTGGAAAGAGGAACAGCAATTTAAATTTAAAACAACCATTATATTCATGTATTGTAAATTTGGTTTTTATTGTATATATAATAAATTAAAAATGTAATAACCAACACACAATTTATTGCATCAACCCATGTTCTAAGTAAAATTGTATACAAAAATAATAAAAATGCAGAGTTCTATTTGTTCTAAAAATTCAGTGGTATGCAAAATATGATTTAAATCTTCAATAATTTTTTTAAATTAATATTAAACATTTCATTTTTACATACATTTGTTAAACAATAGTCTATAATAAATAACTTAATTAACAAGATATTCAACATATTAAAATGGAATATAACTGGGACTTCTTAATTAAAAAATATTTATAATCTTAATAAAATTAGAGATTGACCAATCATAGGATTTTAACTAAAATTAGTTAAAAAGTTGAATGTATATATCATATACATAATTGATTTTTTTGTAATTTTAAAATTATTTAATTTTGATTCTTTAAATTCATCTTTTGACATAAAGCAGCAACTATTATACTATTTAAAAATGAATTATATTCATAGCAATAATTACTAATTTGAATATTTCATTTTACTCTTCATGTAGAAAAAATGTCTTCATATTTGGAAGAAAATAAAGAAACTAGTTTTGCATTGATTAATATCTATAAACATTAAGTTACAATTTTGGTAAAAAAAAATATTTCATCAAATTTAATAAAAATATCTATAATATGATTCCTTCAATCTTATACATAAAACCACATATATAGTTAAATACCTTTATAACATTTAATTTTGACTTGTATAAAAAGTATTGAAACATTAGCATACAAAAAATATATTGTATTCATATAACATATAGATGAATATAATGCACATTAAAATAAAAAATTACAAGGGCTCTCAAATTAACTTAAATATAAAAGTTAGCCAAGTACTTAATGTATAATATGATATTAATGTGTAATTTAATTGCATCAAATAAACTATAATTGAGGTTGCTGTTGTCTGCACCATTAACACATAATAATCCAAAATACTTCAATACAAACTAGTAGTTTTTCCTGCACAGAAACAAAATTTTTTTATAATTAATATTTAGTTTTTAATACAAAAATACAAACTTAAAGTTTTTTTAAATGTAATAAATGTGGAAACACATCATCACTTTCACTTTAAGAAACAAAAAATGTTATACAATATTTGTATATCTTCTTTAACTATGTATCAACTTACTTTGATGATTTATGCGATGAGTAACTCTTACATGAATATTGTCAAAATAAGGCTGAGGTTTTCCTAAAAAATAATTTTATATTATATTAAATTAATATTACATACAAAAATATTTGAATATCCACAGATACATGAAATGTACACAATTAACGTAAAATCATTTTAGAAATTGAAAATTAATTATATCTTACAAATGTAATATTGAACAGGGTTTCTCGAATCTATTTGTCATGCAACTCCCAAATATAATATCAAAATTTAAAACAATGAACTTATGGCTTAGAACATTTTTTAATATACTGTAGGATAACACAAAATAAGAACATAACAACGCTTTACAAGTATTACAAGCATCGAACATAACGGCTTCATAGTTTAAGTTACAGAAACACTGGTTTATGTAACAGATAAAACAAATAATTTTTAAGTATTAAAGAAAAATTCACACTTTATCAAACCAATTATGTAATCTCTATAAAATTCAGATTTTAAAATTTTAATAGACACATAATTTAAAAGCACTAAAAAATTAAAAGGATTTTTAAAAAAACTGCATTTTATATAAGAAGCCATGAAATGTTGAAACTAAATATATTTAAATAAAACACCATTTTTTCACAAAATCTCAGTCACAATTTAATGTTTTTGTACTAATAAAAAATAAACATGTTAGTTATGTTAAAATTCTCACCATAAAACATAGTAAAAATATCACATTTATGTTAAGCATGGCCTTGTTAGATTCGAGGTTAATTTGGTACACAAGGGTATATTGCTGTTCATGACTGACGTTGTACCTAAATCAAAACGAGCCATATCACACTGTTCACATCTTGGCAATATTGGATGATTTTGGAATGTGCACATAGGACAAACCCAGTTTTGACTTTCTAAATGTTCTACAAAATATAATAGGCACATGATGATTAATAAACTTAAAATTTAACTATTAATGACTAACCTTGATAATCATTGTGCATTTTCCCAAAAGAAATTTTTTGGCCAGTATAAATTTGATTATAAAATTTATCATTTGTTTCATCCAATATAACTATAATAAAATAATAAAAATATTAAAACATTTAAATACTATTAAAAAAAGAATATAAACTATATTATATCTAACATAAAATTTTAATTGAGAGAGCAATATCAAACATCTTTTATTACAAACTTCAAAATAATCACCAATTACATAAATAATATCACCAGATAATTCATAATGATGACAGAAAAAAACGTAAAGTGTAAGTAAAGATATACGAATGTCACTGATGGATGTTTTACACCATATATTATTATAATCATTGTATAAACTTTAATTAGATAAAAGATATAATCCAAAATTAATAAAATTTAACATAATTTTAATGTTTTAAGGAACTATTATTGCTATCATATTACTATAGTTTAATTATTCAGTTTATTTTAGATAATATTATAAAACATTTAACATACTTTCATTATATCAACAATTATTTTAACCTACCTTGATTTCCTGTCCCTGTGTCTACTTGAAGAGTTAATTTATGACATTCTAATCGTAAAAGTTCAATATCATTTCTTAAACGTTCAATCTAAATCAAATAAAAAAAACTTAAAAACATAAGCAAAATTATAATTTACACAACAAACTTTTCTGGAATATGAACGTCTTCTGGCAATATCTTCTTCCATCATAATCACATTTTTTTTCATAATTTCTAATCTTTGTCTTTCTATTGATAATTCTGAAGCCAATTTTCGTTTTCTTTCTAGTTGAGCATTAATTACCACTAAAAATTTTTTATAATTTAAATAATAATACATAAATAACTATTTAAATATGTAAGTAATATATATAAAAGTAAAGGTTGAAAATAAATCCTTACTTTTAATTTTAGGTAAAATATTGTCAGTTTGAATTGAACCAGGAATTTGACTTTCAGCTATCCGATTAAGAGGTTTAATATTTGTTGGTGATACCATAATACGAGATGTAGTTACAGTAGTTTCACCTTCAGGATCAATACTTATATGAAGTCTTGATTGATAGCAGTTTTTTGGATCAGTTGTAGGATCAAAAGAACAAGCTGTATACGTGAGCTCAGATCCTCCTCCCGTTGATAAATCTAAAGGAGGTAAAGGATCTTTGGTGGGTTTTCTTAGTGTCAGACTTACAGAAGTAAATGGCCGACATTGTGAATCAACAAATGACACAGAATCCAATGAAAGACTAGATTTGTGTCTGTGTTCTTCTTGGGGCAGTTGTAAAGGTGTTGATGGGGCTGAAATAGATGAACACTGGCATCTATTTAAATTAAAATCTATATCTAAAATTTTAGTATTAATTGAATCACTTCTACTTGAGTTCATTACATCCTTGGTATCATTTAATGTTGGTGGTGCATTTGAAAACTGTAATTTGGGTAAAGAAAGATTATTTTGTTGCATTTCAAGAGACTTTGGTCTGTTAGCCATTTTATCAACAATGTCAGATGGATAAGTTTGTTGAACGTAATTTTTTTGAATGTTCTTTAGATTTGATACACAAGCTTCTCGATTAATTGAATGCTAAAACAAGAAAACTTAATAATTAATAATTGTAAATAAACTTGTTGATTTTAACAACTGACTAACTTTCTTACCTTAAGTATACAATCAGAAACAACTTGATCAGGAACGGTTGGAAATTGTTGTTTGAGCTCGTGAAACATTTGCATCACCGAGATCCTAGATTGTTTTCGGTACTCTGACATTATTGATAATGACTCACCAGCATTTCGATTGATGTTTTGTCTGACTGAAAACAATAATGATATATTTATTCACTACATTTAAAATAAATCAAAACCTTAGATAAATTAGTTTTATTTTATTCCTACTTTTTCAATATTAATATTCAGAAAAAAATTAGGTATTGAAACTTAAATTTATACTTATTTATAATAAGAACTTAATATTTAATTATTAAACAATCGTTTTTTAAAAATATACATAATATTTTAATTACTATTCTTTAATGAAACAAATAAGGAAAAAAATATCATGAGTTAGTGCCAAAATTAAAAATAATAATACTTTATGAAAACAAATCAACAGGTGATTTTATAAAAATAGTATCTTTAATTTGTGATAAATTATAAAATTAGTTTTCAGTTGTCATAGGGTTTATAAGTAGGTAGTGTTTTATTTTTGACCTGCCATTTACAAATTTACACCTAAAAATAGCTCAGTATGTAAATAGTTTATTTTAAATTGTGACGGTCATATTTTTGGACAATAATCTTCATAACACCTACAAATATTTTTTTTATGTTACATCCGTGATGATATAATATATATTTTTAATTATAACCAAAAACACTAAAATTAGTTTAATAATACATATTTCACTCGTTTGGTTATTATAATAAACAAGTAAAATCAAATTATTTGTGTTTCTTTAAACAACCTAAAAAAATGTCATTAAACCTCTTATTATACAAATAACTTAAACGATCAATTAAAAATATATAAATAAACAATATTTATATACATATACATTTGTTCAAAATTATTTAAAATCAAATGAATAATTTATTCTTTAAATATTATATAAAACAGATTTGTAATTATATTATGTAAAATTATGTCTTACTAAATAGTAAAATAATAATAATTAATATGAAATAATAAATAACTGCCTATATCACTTAGTTCATTGACTCAACAAATAATAAAAATATGATTAAGAGTTGTAGAATTCCAAGAAAAACGGATTAAAATTAATGAAGGTCGTTAAGGAATACAGCTAACATCCTATATAATTATAATATACAGTATACACTAGCATAAATTAATACATTTATAAATGAAAACTTATAAAAACTAAATAAAAGTTAACACTAAAATGTTTTGAAATTGTATTAATTTATTAAATATTTAAAATTATTAAAAATAATAGAAATTTTACAATGTGAAAAATAAATGAATCAAACAATTTTATTGACATAAATTTTTATATTTTTAACAGAATTTTTTATTTTATCAGGATTAATAAAAGTTATTTACTTATGTTTTACTAAAAATAAGAAAACAAAAATTACATTTATTTAATATATTTTATGGTACTCAATTAATTAATTTTATTAAATTATTACACTACATAATTCTCATTTTTAACATTACAAATTTATAGAATACTAAATAGAAATAAAAAAAGGTTAAATAATATGGAAGAAGTTTTGTTATTTTTTTTATTTCCTCGAATAACAACTATATTTCTAAAAAGATGAATATAGAAACAATATTTAAAAAATATAATACATTTATAACTGCATATTTTTTTGGTAAAGTAAATCGCGAAAAACAACTCAAAATTACACAAATATAGGCTTAATAAAAATTTATCTCTAAAACCAATATGTTAAAACCATCAAACATATAGAAAAATTATAAAAATAAGATATCTAAACAAATTTAAAGGTAGGCCATACTTAATGATAAAAATAATGTATTTGGATAAAAATATAGATGATACGATAATTAATAAATTTCAATTAATGAGTATAATCAGTGGTGCACATACGGGAGGGGGGGGGGGGGTCGACTGACATCTCTCAGAGAATTGATGGATGACTAGTCTTGTGTGAACTGGTATGAATATTTGTTTAATTTAATTCTAACCAATTTTTCAGTTATCCAAATCAGCATACTAATTATGTTTACCCTAGAATTAAAGCGTCACATGAGAATAAGTAGTAAGGTTCAATCCCAAAAATTATGCTATATAAAATTATAAATTAATACCTAGAAAATTGAAAAATAATATTAGATTTATTTAAAAAAAAATTTATTTTTAGTATCTTTGTTAGTAAGAAAAAACCAATAACACTTAAAAATAAGAGTTATACTATGCCTAAACTCAGATTTTACTGGTTGGGGTGGGTGGGTACCTCGAAATATATTTTTTCGACACCCTTGTCAAAAATCTTCTGGGTATATTCTATAATACTAAAATCATAAATTAATATCTATAATATCCAAATAGGTATTCCATACATAACTGATCAAATAATTATCCTCATCATTACTCTCATAAAATCAAATATATTGAATTAATACATTTATTTTGATTAGCTGACAATTTGAATACTAATTGATAAACAAATAAAAATACATGCATATAACATACACAAACAATATTTAACATTAAGTATATAGGAAAAAAACTTAAAATTTAAAATGATTCTTAAATAATTATGAAACATTTTTAATTTTAAATAAATATACCATACAATAATTGTAATTTATAAAAATTTTGAATTGATGAATGTTAACATAATAATGATAAACAAATTATAATTGAAATTGAACTGGAAAATAAAGTAATAAAGTGTAATTGATTTAATTTATATTCAATAAATTATACTAGCATGTAGGTACAATTATATTCATAAGCACCCGTAAGAAAAGTTAGATTTTTGGTTTATTGTAATTTTTTTTTCTATCAAACCAAATTTCTTACTTGTTTAAGTATAGGTTGGTAACAATTCAGAGGAGCGAACGTACATATTCTAAAAAACGTATTATTTGCAAATTATAATGAGAAAAACAGTAAAAAAAAAATAATAATTTAAACCGTTAAAAATTATTATTGTTAAAATTAAAAATCTGACAATTGTGAAAAATTTAAAAGCACCAACAAGTTCCTTCAGATTGTTTTCATTTTCCAACGGCCTTGAACTGACCAAATCAGGTGGAATCCAGTGTGAGCAACTATTAAAATTAATTGCATAAAAAAATTATACAATAAAAATGCTGTAAAGGTAAAATAGTAATAATTTTCTGTGGGCTTAGGTCAGTTCTCCTCATTGATAAGAGATAAAAATGAAGTTTCCAAATTCATTGACCGCAACGTCCAAAAGAAAAATTCTCTCCAATCCAACCTCTACAGTGTCATTAACATAATAACAAACAAATCCTTGAATTTCAAATTTATTTATTTTCAAATACAAATTTCAAAACCAATGTTTTTGAAAAAATTAAAAACCGGTCTGTTATTCCATATATGAATGATCACAAAATATTATAGCTTGAAACTTAATATAGTTAATAGTTCGTAATAAATTACATACGAGGCAAAAATTAATGATTACGGGGTGTCGCGGCTAACAACAAGTTTTTATTTAAAAGTAAATTGTGTCTTTTATTGTGAGACTTTGAAGTTATTATAATCTAATTTGGTTTTAAACTATAAAATGTTTGTTTTGTCATTTTTTTCCTAGTAAATTGGGAGAATCAAATCCTAGTGTGTGTACTAAAGCGTTTGTGGTGATAAAACACTTATGTAAAGTAACAAGATGTTTCTGTACTTATCCTGTACTCGTTATCGTGGTCACCAAAAGGAGAATTTAATAAGTTTTAACCGAAAGGTATTGATATTTACTCTTTGACGGCCTTTGCGTGGCGTATACGACAGGTCATATTGTAAAATACTATAAGTAGATCTATGTGAAAAATGTTCGTAAAGTCATCAGATGATCGACAAAACACGTATGAAAATGTAAAATTTCTAATCGTTTGTCAATTTTAAAAGAAAATTGTTAAAATAAATTAAATTTATACTTTAATTATTCACATCTGCTTAGATTATTTATTTAGAGCATTTGTGATACAATATGTGATTGTTCAAGAGGTGGTGGTGTGCTAATTGCAATAAATAATAAATACTATTCTCGTATGTTACCCCTACCTCCCTATTCCGTAGAACATTTATTTGTTATTAAATTAATTTCGTTTACTATATTTTAGGTAATACTTATTTTCCTCCTCGCCCACCTATAACGTTATACAATAAAAAGTTCGATAATATTAATGATCTATTAATTTCCTATCCCTACGTTAAAAATATAATTTAAGTAGGTGATTATAATACGCCAAACTTAAAATGGCAATTCACTTCTCCTTCCTTTTCACCTAACTATTTAAATTTAAATCAATTGTCAGTAGACTTTCTATCTAAAAATTCATTTTTAAGTTTATCCCAATTCAATACTTTCAGTAACTAAGTTAAAAATATCAAACTAGCAGTCATTAATAAATTCTTCCTTCCCGTCTTCCACCCCCTAGTTCCACCCACGCCTACTCATCATGAATCTAAAATTATTGTTTGCAAAATATTTTTTTTTTTTTTCCGGCTTAACGATCCATTGAGGATCTTTACCGCCAAAACTATCTCCTCCCATTTCTCTCTATCTTGCGCTATGATTTGCCAATTCGTCCTAACTTCTTGGCCTACCGCATTCCATATTTCATTTACGCTGTCCATCCATCTTCTTCGGGGTCTACCTCTTGGTCTTTTCCCTGTTGGCGTCCAAGTCATTATTTCTTTTATCAGGCATCCTTCAAAACGCCATACATGTCCAGCCCATTGCATTCTTATACTTTTAACGTATTGTACAATATTTTCTCTTTTGTATAGGTTCTCGAGTTGTGCATTTGATCTTAATTCCCATTGTTGGGTTTCGGTATTAAATACTGGACCATGTATTCTTCTTAAGATTTTTCTTTCAAATCTACTTAGTTTTTCTTCATCACCTGTAGTTGTGGCCCATGTGGCACATGCATACGTCAATACCGGTCTTATGTAACTTATATAAAGTTTTTCTTTGACATTTTTTGATATCAATTTTGATTTAAATATCGTCTCCATTGCAAAATAACATCGATTTGCTGTATTCAGCCTCACATTAATTTCTTCGTGCATAATATTTTTGTTGTTTAGAGTTACACCAAGGTACTTAAATTCTTTAACTTGTTCGAATTCCTTATTTTCTACTTTAAGGTTGGAGCTATCCTCTGATTTTCTTCTTATTGCCATGTATTTTGTCTTCTCTTCATTTACTAAAAGACCCATATTTTTACTTGCCTTCATTAATTTCTTCAGATTCATTTGGATTTCTGTTCCACTGTCATCTGCGTATGCGGGTAGTAGTCCTCTGTGAGGTGACCAGGCATCTCCGTTTGATATTTCAAGTACCACGCTTTCCAAGGCCATGTTAAATAATATGGGTGAAATGGCATCCCCTTGTCTTAGTCCACTTTTGATTTAAAAAGCCATAGACACCTCATTCCCAAGTTTAACTTTGCTATACGTTTTACTGTTGCATAATTGTACCATTTTGATAATTTTCAAAGGGATCCCAAATGTCTTGAGCACCTCCCATAGTTTTTCCCTGTTCACGGTATCATAGGCCTGTTTATAGTCCACAAACACCATATGTAGGTCTTTTGCGTATTCATAATGCTTTTCCATTAATTGTCTCACTACAAATATATGGTCTGTGGTTGATCTTCCTTTTCTGAATCCACTTTGGTATTCACCTACAGTTTCTTCGGCGTATTTCTCTAATCGTTTTAATATTATTAATGATAGAACCTTGTATCCTGTATTTAATAGGGTTATCCCCCTGTAGTTTTTTACTTTTCTTCGATCTCCTTTTTTGAATATTGGGCAAATAAGTGTTTCTTTCCAGTTTTCCGGAAGCCTTTCTTCTTCCCATATTTGTAGAATTATCGAATGTAGTTCCTTTTCTACTTCTTGGCCTCCTATCTTCCAAAATTCAGAGTTAATCCTGTCTTCCCCTGATGCCTTATTATTTTTCAGAGTGTGAATTGCCGCTTTTGTTTCGTCCAGGCTAGGGGCAAGTACTTCCTGGTCTACTGTGTAATAAACTCTAGTTTCTTTGTCATTATTGTCATTATCTGGTATTTTATTTAGTAATTCTTTGAAATAATCTTTGAATTTGTTAACTATGATTTCTGGACCATATATCAGAGCACCATTTTCATCTATTAGGGATAGTATAGGCGGGACGAAGCCAGCTTTAATTGTCTTGCACCTCTTAAAGAATTCTCTTGGATTGTATTTATACCTTTCGATTTCTTCAATCTTTGCTTTTTCTGACATTCTTTTCTCTTTTCTGATTAGCCTTGACACTTCTTTCCTTTTAATCTCAAATTCAATGATGTTTTCAGGTGTGGGTACCTGGATTGCTTTAATTTTAGTATTGTTACGGTCCTGGATTCCTTATCTACAACGTTCTTTGAACCATTTATTCTTTTTTAGTCTTTGTGTGAATTGTATTATGCTCTCCCCGGTTTCTGTTATTGAATCTTTAACTATATTCCATTTGTCCTCCAATTCTTCAATACTAGAACTTTTTTTTTATTTTAATTTTTCTTCTACTGTTTCCTGGTATTTTTCCGTATTTCTTCTTCTTTAAGCTTCTCGATGTCAAATTTTCTAGTTGTTTTTGATTTTCTTTCATTATTCCACTTTGCTGCCATTTTACTCTTGAAGACTCCAATTACAAGATAATGGTCCGAATCTACATCTGCTCCTCTATAGGTTTTAACATTTGTAATATTTGATTTGTATCTATTATTTATTAGTACATGGTCTATTTGGCTGGTGTATCTGTCACCTGGTGATATCCACGTATGTTTATATATATTCTTTCTGGGAAACTGCGTGCTACTGATATTCATTCCTCTGCTTATAGCGAAATTTATTAGCTTTATCCCGTTATTGTTACTTCTTTCGTGAAGGCTATGTTTCCCTAACAGCTTTATATATTTCTTCCTATCCTATTTGGGCGTTTAGGTCTCCCATTATTAACTTAACACAATGGTTTGGTAGAGAGTCATAAGTGTTTTCTAATGAATCATAAAAGATATTTTTTATTTCTTCGTCTGCCGTTTCTGTATGAGCGTATGTGCAAATTATTACCAGATCATGATGTTTCATATTTATTCGTAAGTAGCATATTCTCTCATTTACTACTATAAACTGTTTAATCTGCGGCATAGTACTTTTATGAATCATAAATCCTACTCCGTTTTCATGTTTGTTATTCTTGTTTCCCCCGTACATAAACACCATATTGCCAGATGTGATACTTCCTTCTCTTGGCCACCTAGTTTCTTGTAACGCTATAAGGTGTATGTTATATTTTTCTACGACTTCTGTTGGCATTTGAAGGGCTCCTACTTTGTATAACGTTCTCACATTCCAAGTTCCAATCCTTAATCCATGTTGTCCGGTCCGATTCCAATGTTCATTATCCATAACTCTGTCCCGAGGCTTTTGTTTTGGTTTCTTAACAAGATATTTTTACAGTGGCGGGTTGTTAGCCCGTCGCCAAACCCCCAATCTGGAGGGCCAGACTGCCCCAATCAATTAAGATCAGGGTAGGGAGAACTGAACCAACTAATTAAAGTCAGTTCAGTTCAGAGCTCGGGGCCCCGGGTTCGCCATACCCGTCGCACTGTTAGTGCTCCCCTGAAGGAGTTTGCGAAATAATACTTATATCAAATCCACAGAATCTTCCTGTTACATATAGCTATAGCCTATAATTTATAATATTTGTTATATACAATAGCGGCTATATGTTCATGATATATATATATATATATATATACTAGCTGACCCGACACGCCGTTGCCCACGTATTAGTAGGTTTTTTGGCATTTTCGTAGGCCATGTATTAGTGTTATTATGTATGAGAAAATTTAAAAATAATAGGTAAAGTATCTAAATGTTGAAATTAAGTACAAACCAACATATATATTTTCTAAATTTACATTTTATTCATCTTATATTAAATTATTGTTTATAATCAGTGACCTACTTACAAAATATACTATATACATTAAAAATATACAAATATAAATTAAATTATTAAAACTAAAAATTATCTAAGTACTACTTTGTGTACAACATTTCTGGTTAACCTGTCTTTCGCTAACACGAAGAGATTTGATGGTTTTCCTACACATGAGCAGGCAACATAAAGCTGTCCATGTGAGAAACATGTGTTTTCCAAATTCAAACCGCAAATAGACATTGTTTGGCCTTGAGATTTATTTATGGTCATCGTAAAAGCTAAACAAATCGGAAATTGGAGCCTTTTAAACGGTATTGGAGATTCCGACCCCATCAGTGGAATACGTGGCAACAGGACGATATCTCCTTTAAATTTTCCCGACAAAATTGTTGCTTCAAGAATATTTTCGGTCATTTTTTTTATGACTAAACGTGTACCGTTACATAATTGAGGTGGGTTTAAATTACATAGAAGAATGATTGGTGAACCAATTTTCAATTGAAGGTTGTGTGGTGGCATTTCTGGTAAATCCAGAGAATTCAAAAATTCAGTTGGAAAGTTTACGGTTTCGTTTTCATCAATAACTGTGTCGATTGATTTAAAAGACATCAAATCACCGGGCAAAATCTGTTGTATATGGAAGTTAATTTCGTTCACATCAACATTTCTTACTGCCAAAATAGCACAATTACAGAGCCAATTGTGATCTAAATAATAATTCAATATATCCGGAAAGACACTCTCAATTAGTTCATTTCTCGTTTCAACAACAGTGCAGAAAATATCTGGTAATTTTATGTATTCTGTATTTTGATGCAACTCAATTTCACCATTTCCAATATCCAGCAATTGTTTTGAAAATACTTGTGCCGTTGGATCATTTTGCAATTGTACTCGCATATTCATAGTCAATCGAAGTGTCTCAACACTTGTCCATAAAACGATTGTTTTATGCATGCGTTGATCTCATTGGCAAAAGTAGAGTGAGGAATAACTGGTAGTTTGCCGGAAATCACCGGACAGTAGTAAAACAGTACCACCGAAAAGTTTATTGTTACTTTTAAATCTTGCATAGTTCTATGAAATGCTTCAAGTGAATGTTTATGAGTCATAGTACACTCATCCCAAATTATTATTGCACTCTTTTGCAACACTGCAGCCATTCCGCTTTTTTTTTTTTTAATGTTACACATTGCATTTGGTTTGTTATGAATGTCTTATGGTAACTTCAATACTGAATGTGCTGTTCGTCCACCATCTAACAAAGTTGCAGCAATGCCCGACGATGCAATTGCCAAAGCAATTTTCTGTTGGGAACGTGTCTTTGCAAGAATTAATGATATTAAGAATGTCTTACCTGTTCCACATGGTGCGTCTAAGAAAAAAAACCCACCTTGGTCAGCTTCAACGGTCAGCATTATCCGATTATAAATATTTTTTTGTTCAGCTGTCAGTAATGGCTCATTATTCACAATAATTGTAGCTAAATCGACGTCATTGTACTGTTTTTCTCGTTGCAAATCAGTGTTAACTAAGTCGGCAGCCGGGCGATCAGGTGATGACATTCCATGATGACTAAGTGGCAAATTTGAAATTAAAATACATAAATCTTCGAACAACACTAATACTTCATTATACATCTCTGGTGTGAAATCTAAATTTGGACATTGATTTGTTCGTCTAATTCGATGCAATATGTCTTCAGTCATATAATTCTTATATTTTTCCCACAGAGTCGATGATTGTGTTGGAAAACATGTTGTCAAAATTATTGCAAATAGTTGACGAATATTATTCGGTGTGAATGTCAACGCTGCATCAGCAAGTGGCAAGTCCCAATGATTATCTGCTTCCATTAGTTGCAACTCGCAACATGCATCTTGATATGTATTGAACACTCGATCGTTCACTGTTCGCAAATATTCGAAAGATGTTGGTCCGTGAATAATCACCAGCAATAAACGCAAAAAGAAGCATTCACGTTGTTTAGGATGTACAGTGTAAAGTCGTCCCAATGTCTTGGCTTTAAATATGCCTGGGATCGATGGATGTGGTTTTCCTTGCTTACGGGGCTCCCACTTTTTCCCTATTTTATTCCATGTAAAATAGCGTGGAACATCGGTATATAATAATGTTTTTGCAAATTGGCCGAATACATCAGATTTTTGACATAATGTAAAGAATTCAGTTAGTGTCGTTTTCGGTGTCTCAAATGCTCTTTGGAAAATATTTTCTTCGATAAAATATACTCGTTGATCGTTTTCAAGATGTACTGCAAGATGCTGGACAGAAGGTTCTCTTTCATGTATGGGAAAACTGAAAATACGTCAGATAGCTTCGCTGCTGCTTATATATCTACCCATTTGGTATCTTACTATTTCGTCATTTTTGTTTATATCTTGTATTTCAAATACGGCCAAATCACTACCTTTGTTAACATATTTACAAATGTACTTAATGGATTTGACGGAACTGCAAAACTCGACATTAATATGAGCCTTATACGCTTTTGACAGCAATGGTGAGTACGGAAATACCCACCGATTATCAATTTCAACTTCATTTATAGAATTCGGCTTTCGCATTGTAAATGTGTGACCACCATGCTCAGGGTCTCTGCGGCGATACAATGGATAACCATCGAATTCCGTAATAGTATCATTGGTAAAGGGTTTCGGGAAACGTTTCTTACACCTTCCTTCTTCCATGCATGGTGATGTCATGTTAAAAGTACCACATAGTCCGTGGATCATGTGACTAGTAACAATATTAAACAATTCTGAGTCAGTTAGTGGATCCGGAATTTCGACAGAAATTATTTGGTCAATTTCTTCTGGACGGATTTTATCTTCAAGCCAAACCAAAATATGAGAATGAGGCAAACCTCACTTTTGCCACTCAATAGAATACAGCCAGCAACGTGTGTTACCAAAAACTGAATATTTTACGATTAAATTAATTAAAGATTTTAACTTTTGTTTGAACACACGTGTAACGATATCGTGACGATGTATTGATTGTTGGCCTGGTAATAACAAACTTTTTATTTCTTCCCAATTTGGATTACACGTAAATGTAACAAACAAATCAGGTCGACCGTAATGACGTACATAAGTCATCGCATCTTGTATGTATTCCTGCATGCTCCGTGGACTGCCGATGTAGCTTGAAGGTAAAATACATGCAGTTCCAATGTCATTGGCGTTTAAATTTTCATCGATGTTTCTGGTGATAGCATCTCGTAAATGGATGTATTTATCTGATCTTAATTTAGCCTGGTTGTATCTAATATACCGTAAACGTTCACTTTCGATCTTAGCAAACATATCCACAACGTATTGATGGAATAGTTGACGATATCGAAGGATATAATTATCTTGATTAAGTCTAATCATCAATCGATGCGCGTAGTAGTTCATTGAACTAACTTTTTTATTGATTTCATTACCTAAAAAAAATGAGTCATTAAATGGTTATAAAAATTAAGAGTAAGAAATTAAAATGACCAAAATAATTTATTAAATAGTATAGATTATTAAACGTACCAGTGATTGGATCACGCTGTTTTATGTTGATGTGATATTCATCCTGCCCTTGCCAGAATATTAGGGGATACTGAAGTGCGTCATACGAACGATAAAGGTCTGAAATTATATGAACAGTACTGTCTCGACGTATGATTTTGAGGTCTCTGTTGTTAACTGGATCACCAACCATAATAACAGCAACTTCATCTACGGTTGGCGCGTTGAACCTTCCAGCGTGTTTTCCTGAAGGTACTTTGTCGGCTTTGATGACAATTTGATAATTATCATTTCTTAATTGAGGCGATACTCTTTTAAATAATTGGATAAGTTGATTATAATTTTCAAAAAAGTTTTCCAAAGATTCCACAATTGCTCTCTCTTCTGCTTGTTCGATGAAATTATGCAGGCATCGAGTTGTCACGCGTTCCTCACAACTGCCCTTAAAATAAATTTGGAGAAACTTTGGATCATCATTAGGCATTGGCATTAATGACCCAATCTTGTGGTACACTTGGCCTTGGATTTTGAACGTAGTTACAAAATTATTTCCATTAGATGTGAGAAGGCAAATTTTAGTTGCGCCAAAGGACGTCATTTGGAAGCAAGAATTGAATTTGCGTATCTTACGCAAAAATAATTTCGAATCGTCTGATTCACCAGCAAGAAATGATTTTAAAGGTTCCGGTGGAATAGGAGGAGGTGCCAGTACAACTTTTCCAGATGCACAACACATACCAATCGTTTCATTGCGGAATTTTGACGCTTGACAATATTGGCATATTTTATCCATTGCACCAATTATAATTTTAGTATGTGTTGAGTAATTGATGTCTGGTGCATATTCGAACGCAAGGCGAACGAATGATGCACGTGTTAATGCACGGTTGGTTTGTTGTCGCTCTCTTTCAAGTTCTCTAAATGTGGCTATGTGCCGTTCTCGCGCTGATCTTGTTATCAATATATTTTGTCGTAGACGTTCATCACGCTGTTCTCGAGACTCTTGTCTGCGAATTTCTGCTGTTCTGATTTGTTGAGCTGCATTTCTTGCTGCAATTTGTTCTTCCGATTCATGAGTTTTATTAGCACACATACGTCGTGCATTTTTACTACACTGATTGTTAAGGTTAGATTTCCGCCGCATTATACTAAATTCAGAAAAAATTAAAGAATATTCAATACTGAACACTGCACAATAATAACACAATACAAAGTATTTATGGTCAGTGTGTAGGTAAAGTAAAATACGAAAACACTAAACCAATACAAATTAAATTGTATAAATAAAAATAACAAACGAAACTCGAGACGGCGCGATTAACTCGATAATGACTGACTCGGTCAGATTGTGGCCAGTGCCGGCGGGAGATTTTGCGGGGCCCAGGGCAGATTTTTTTCATGGGCCCTATACAAATTAAAGAAGAAAAATACATTTTTTTTCTATTTAACATAACCCCTTAAAAATATTTCATTTTTTATGTACACGATTAAACAAAGTATATTAAACGTACAATTTTCAATTTGGATTTATTTTTTAAAACTATAAATATTTTTTTGCTTATGCACAGATACATTTTTCGTATTAAAATAAAATATGTATAGATCAAATATTAAGGTACAATTAATACAAGTTAACTACACAAAAACTAAAAAAAAAATCAACATTTTAACATCAAAATTGTTTTTTTCTTTTTTAATTATTTAGAAATAATATATTTTGTGAGCGATTTCCGATAAACAATGTTAAATACATATATAATCGTAACAAGAGTACGTCGAGGATTGATTCGTTATCGCACAACTAGACAGTCCAATATAAGTTGTCTAATACTCTAAAATGAAAAAAAAATGAAATGACAACAGAAAGTGCACTCCGATTGTGTCTTAGTGGTTATGCGGACACCCATCACATACAAGATAAGGAGTACACAATCATTCTTCAATTATAAATAAATAATAATACGATAAACTATACGTATTTTCGGAAAGAAAAACACGCAACCCGGGTTATAATGGAATTATTGGAATTGATGTACACATAATAAATTACATAGTTTTCAGCGGTTCCACGTCAAAATATCCCGGTCAAAATATCCCCGATAAAATATCCCTAAACCAAAATATCTCCGGCAAAATATTCTATGACAAAATATCCCGCGTAAAAATATCCCCGACAAAATATCCCACGTAACTATTAATTAAAAATGTAAACCTTTTTATACAAGTTACATTGATATTAATACATTTACTGAATACAAAAATCAAGACATTTTTAAAAATATATTAAAATGGTATGTTTTTCGTCAAAAATTATTACACTTATTATGATAATATAAAATATAAATTACATAAAGATATTAATACATTTAAGGAATACAAAAAATGAATTAAAAAATTTATACTAAAATATGTGCTATTGATTTTAAATATTTATTGTTATTGGTTTCGTCATATCCTTTTACAACAGCAATTAACCGCTCGTCCAAATTTTTATACTTTCGCCTTTTTTTTTGTTGAGGTGCACCAGCTGTTTGCTGCTCCATTTTGGCCTCCTGCAGATCTTGTTCTCGTTTTAACATATTTATGAATTTCCACACTGTTACATGGTTAGCTGCAAGTGCAGAATTAAACGCTCTGTGCCATCCTTCTACTGCATTATTTGTCCTAGGAGAGTCTTCCGTTACAGAATCAAACATATTCCATATTTTAATTGGAAAAGTAGACGCTCTTCACCTACCACCACGTGTTGGTCTCCCAATCCACGTGTCCTCAAAATAATCAACAAATGTTCGTAATTCTTCTTCATTGTCTACGTAGTAGTTGGAGTTAATTAGTTCTTCAAATGCAGAAATAACATTATCAACAGGTACAAAAGCAAGAGCCGATAATTTTTTTATTTCGTGGGCAAATATTGCGTCTGTGGAATACCTGTTCTTTAATCCACACGATTGCAATTTTCGCCATAAGCACTGGGTAAAATGAAAAAAACATCCATGTATTTTAACATCAGTATATAATTCTTTAAATGATTTTATAAATGCTTGTTCGAAATCTATCACAATAGCTTTTGGTCGTAAATTTGATTTGAGTATATTAATTTGATTTAGTACTTCGGAATAACTATTTTCGTTTTTATTACACATTAATATATATATATAAGTGGATATACAGTGCAGTCAATGTTACCATGAATAGTATACAGCTGATAAAATATATTGGGTACAGATTTAAACGTTCCATCTGCGAACCATATTTCGGAGACATTCAGTATATTTAAATTTTCATTTGTTGTGAATATCAATATTCTGTTATTAATATCCCAATTTTCATTATTTTTACTGTCATATAGCAAAAAAGGTAAATTACGTAAAAAACAGAGTACAATAAACAAAATATACATATATACAGAAGATTTTGGTTATCTCGTTTGGCCATTTGGTGTTTTGACACAAAAATAAAACCCGTTTGCTTTTAGCACTCATGCGTAGCACATTATTTTCACCTACCACACTCCTCCCACGATGCAACATGGCGCAGTCTAGAAGGATCTGAAAATTGTGTATTGTGTATTTGAATTTTGAATTGTTGTTGAACCATGGAGTACAATAAACCAGATGCGTTGGTTTTAACGAGTAATTTGTCAGAAAATTGGCGCGTTTTTCATGAAGCGTTCGAGATTTACATTGAGGCGGCTGGTCTAATGACAGCGTCTAACAAACGTCAGGTGGCCATTTTTCTTAACCTTTTTGGTAAAGAGGGCCTAGAGAGGTATAACACTCTCAAGTTTGAAAACGTCGAAGACAATAAGAAAATTGATCAAGTGCTAACCGCATTTCAAAATTATTGCAAACCAAAAAAAAAAATATTCTACACTCCAGGTATATATTTTATAAACGGTTTCAAAAAGAAAATGTGTCTATAAAGGAGTTCCTGTCAGCGTGTCGTGATTTGATAAAAGATTGTGAATTTAAATCTCATGAAGAAATTTTACATGACAAAATTGTTCTTGACACGAAGGATAGCGAGACTCGCGACAAGTTAATTAAGCAAGCTGATGTTACTCTTGAAGCTGCAATAGAAACCCTTCGTATTACTGAAATTCAACGAAGAGAACTCAATCAAATGAAGGAGATTGGTGAAAAACAAAATTAAGTAAATGTAGTTCATTCAAAAGTACGTGGTGATAAGCGTACATATCAAGCTCAACAGAACAACGGTAACAACGGACATCGTGGTCAATGTCAAAAGAATCAACGACAGGTAAAAGGAAAAGTCTATAGCAAACAGGATGAGTCACCACAGGTTTTCAAAAATACGGGTAATTTTTTCTGTAAGTAATAAAAAAACGAATAATAATTGTAATCGGTCTGATAAATTATGTAAATATTGTAATTTTATGCACGACAAAGGCAAATGTCCTGCGTATGGTAAAAAATGTTTAAAATGTAACAAAATTAATCATTTTCAAAGTGTTTGTAAATCTGAGATTGCATTTGTTGAAAACGTTGAAGGGCTGAGTAATGATAATTATTTTTGTTCTACGGTATATACAATGAATACTTTGGCTTTTTCCTGGTCTGAGACTATTCTCGTTGAAAATAAAGGTATTAATTTTAAACTAGATACTGGCTCTGATGTTATTCTACTGACCTTAAATGATTTTAGCTTAATTAAAAATAATTGTCCTTTTAAAAACTTAGTAGTTAATAGGCAACCGATAAATTTACGGGCATGGTGATAGTAATATTAATACATATTTTACAGTTGATTTAAAAGTAAAATTAAGAGAAAAAGAATATATTTTAAATTTTGTAATTGTTGATAATCATTGCAAGGCAATTTTAAGTCTGCATAGCTGTATACATTTAGGGCTTATAAATAAAATAGAAAATGTTGATTAGATATTAAGTCGTAATTATGTACTGGAGAATTATTGCACGGTTTTTACAGGTCTTGGTAACTTTCCCGATGAATTTAGCATACAATTAAAGCCCAATGCAACACCTGTTACGAATGTTCCACATAGAGTTCCTATTAATATCCAAAATAAGTTGAAATGTGAATTACATCGATTAGTGTCAGAAAAAATAATTAGAGAAATAAATGAGCCGACTGAGTGGGTAAATAGATTAATGATTGTTGAAAAGAAAAATGGAAATACGAGATTATGTCTTGATTCACGCGATCTACATAAAAATATAATTCGTGAATATTTTGTAATCCCTACATTATCAAACTTATCGTCAAAACTGAAAAATGCAAAGGTCTTTTCTGTTTTTGATTTGAAAGATGGTTTTTGGCAAATAAAATTAGATTTAGAGAGTTCTAAATTATGCACGTTTGGTACTTTTTGTTTTAATAGACTTCCTTTTGGAATAAATAATGCAGCTGAAATATATCAAAAATGGAATATGAAAGTGTTTGGAGGTATTGAAAATGTATTTATATATCTTGATGATATTTTAATTTTTGGTGACCCTGAGGCTCAACATGATTGTGCATTAAAACAGGTTTTAGATTTGGCTATGAAAAATAATATTAAATTTAATAAAGACAAAATTCAATATAAGGTAGATAAAGTTAATTATCTTGGACATATATTTTCATATGAAGGCATGAAATTAGATAGTGATCGTATTAAATATATTTTCGAGTATGAGATACCAAAAACTATAAAAGATTTACAAAGATTCTTAGGTATGGTTAATTATGTCGGAAATTTTATTCCTAATCTGGCAATGTTGACTTAACCACTAAGAGATCTTCTTAAAAAGAATAATGAGTTTGTATGGACATCAATACATAATGAGTGTGTAAATAAACTTAAAACAATAATTGCTAGTCCCTCTGTACTTAGAAACTATGATAACACAAAAGAAGTGATAATACAGACAGATAGTAGTAAATTTGCCGATGGATGTGTTTTGTTACAAGAAGGCAGACCAGTCTGTTTTAAATCGAAAAGCTTATCTGAAACCGAAATTAACTACGGACAGGTTGATAAGGAATTTCTGTCTTATTTGCGTGTAAGGTATTTCATCATTATATTTATGGTAGGCGCGTGACAGTTTAAACCGATCACCATCCTTTAGTTTCGCTAATGAAAAAGAACATAAATGGCATTCCGTTTAAAAGACTTCAGTGCATTAAGGTCAAATTATCACGATATGATATTAATCTTATACATGTACCGGGGAAAGAAATGTTTATCGCAGATGCATTAAGTCGTGCGTGTATATCGTCTCAAGATAACGATGTTGATATCGATGTCTCCGATGCACAGATATCTATATTATACTAGATGACGAACTTCCGATATCCCTTGAACCACGCATTGATTATGTTATCATTTGTCCGCCATGTTTTGGGTTGGCAAAATATTGTATCAACACTATTCCCTACACATCACAATATTAATTATACACTATTTAGTAACTAATATTTATTAGATATGCCTGTTTCTTGTGTTACATACGGTTGTTCAAATCGCTTTAAAAGTAATTCCTCAATTCACTTTTTTCAGTACGTATGAAGTATAGATAATATGATTTAAAAACACCTCAACATTTACATTTTTAATTGCAACGTATATTCTGTACATTCTCTGTATCTGTATATTCTCAATTAGCTGAAACATTCCAGCCTTATTCGTGCACCGATCCCGAAAACGACACAATTATTGAAATTCAACAATTTCTATCAGCTTCGCTCCTATGTCGCTACCTGCAAAACCCTTCTTTCCTGGTGAAATTCAGTATATAATTAAAAAATTACCTCCCGGCATGGCACCTGGAAATGACCTCATTACAAACAAAATTCTGAAAAATCTGTCTCTCAAAACTTTATCATTGCTCACCCACATATATAATTCTATGCTAAGATTTTCCCACTTCTCTTAAATCTGGAAATTTGCATTCATTATACTTGTATACAAACCAAATAAACCTAAACACTTATCTTCGTCATACCGTCCCATAAATTTACTTCCAGTCCTTGGTAAACTTTTCAAAAGGGCCCTCCTGAAAAGATTACGTCCCATCCTTCAAAACAACCATATCATACCGAATAATCAGTTTTGTTTTCGAAACAGGCACTCAACAATTCATCAAGTTCATCGTCTTACTGATGAAATCTCAACTGCTCTCGAAAATAAAGAATATATGTATATATATATATATATATATATATATATATATTCAGTATACTGTTCCGGACTTTTTTTTAATATTGCTCAAGCATTCGATAAAATCTGGCACGATGGCTTACTATACAAATTAAAACTTTTCATGCCAGCTCCCTAATCTCTTATTATCAAATCTTACCTACAAAATCGTTCGTTTGTTGTATGACAGGGAAACGATATTTCATCTACTCACCCAATATATGCTAGAGTTCCACAGGGTAGTGATCTATCCCCTGATCTATATAATGTATTCACAGCAGACATCCCTCAATCTAGTAACACCCTTCTAGCAACATACGCTGATGACATAGCTATTCTTTCCTCCAGTCCAAATCTTATCTTAGCTTCAGCTGAACTCCAGGTTCATACTAATAAAATTGAAGAATGGGCCAAAAAATGGAAAATAAAAATTAATACGGAAAAGTCTGTACAAGTTACTTTCACGTTAAAACAATCTCCCTGTGAGTGCCCTCAATTAATTATGAACAACGTCTCCATCCCTGTCCAAACCAAAATCAAGTACTTAGGCATAACGCTTGATAAAAGACTAACTAGGGGCCCCCACCAAAAAGAAAAAAGAAAATCATCGAACAGATTTCACCTCCTCCGACCACTCCTAAACTCCAAAATAACACTCCAAAACAAACATATTATATATAAGTCAATCATAAGACCAATCTGGTCTTATGGAATAGCAATCTGGAGTCCAGTAAATCCCTCGAACATCAGGCCAACTCAGGTTTTTCAATCAATTGTGCTAAGGTTAGTATCCAAACTTGGAAAACAAACCCTACTACAGTATATCAGTACTAGAGCTCTCGAATTTGAACGTGAATTAAGATTCACGTGATCACGTGTTTTTTGTTTACGTGTACTTAAATTTAAAAATCCGTGTATTTAATTCACGTGTCATTAATTAGTAAATCACAGATATTTATTTAACGTGTGCTTGAAACAATA